GTAAATGAAAATATGGTTGAATATTACTGAGAAAGAGCGTGACAAAATTGAAAGTGCTTTTCTAATGAGCACAAAGCCTCCAATCTTAAATTGGAATTGATGCATGCGCGCTCGGGGTTAGAAACATAAATGGATCAATCTTTTGCAAGAAAACAACAAAAGAACCTTTTTTCTTTTCTATAATTGCCTTCTCTTCAGCAATCGCCTTCGCCTTCTCAGAAAAGTGCTATCTCATTCCAGTGTTTGAATGTGCTGCCAATTACGAAACAAGTCCTCTTTTTAGCCATGCCCTAAACAGGTCCCACCTTCTTCGAAAAAAGGTAGCGAAGTGTGTCAAAGTGCACAGATCAGGTTTGACTTGCTTTTTTCACTCATCGCCCTAATGCTCTTCATGCAATTATTTGAAAGACAAAGAGTAAGGATATAAAGAACTTGCCTTTGTGCAGATCCCCTTTGTGTGTAGAAGGATTCAAAGAAATTTATTGATATCTAATTACAAGGTATGATAGTGACAGGCGATGTAATTGCACGATGACTGGGCATGTTAACATTTCAAAACTTAAGAATCCGCTCGTAATTCCTTCACTCATCTCCTCTGATGGAAGGATGATGCTTGAGGTAGGTGCGAAAACAGACACGGTACTTCTCAAACTGACCAATGCATATACCATATGTCAGCATGTTCGTTGGCACTGGACCGTCTGCTTTGCAGTACGGCATACAATGTGGTATCACACCCTAAAAAACGGTTTAACTATTGAGTTCTTCAAAAAGCTTTCGAAATTTTGAAGTAAAAATTCAAAATAACATACAAACAACTTCTGCTAATGTTGAAGTTTAGAGGTACATAACCCCAAGATGATCAAGGCTAATTTTCAGCTAACTGGTTGATCAAACTTCAGCACCATCCAGGAAGAGCACCTTCTTCCCACGCAGTGCATTATCTCGAAACGCTACACCAACTTAACCCAGTAAAAAACGAGTAGTCGAGTACAATGATTTTACATAAAAATCCGATGGACGCATCGTGATAATTTCTTTCACAATAGAAATTTTTTTAGAGCGGTGTTAGACTT